CTCCGCCGGCCTGGGCGCCTGACCTCGCAGCGGGAGCAGCTGCCCCCCCTCCCCGCCCCTCCCCAGAGTCAGAGCAGACCTGCGGGTCTCACCCCGGACCGCAGAGAGGGCGGGGCAGGCGCAGGAGGGGCGGGCGCTGGGGCGGGGCCGATGCTAGGAGGGGCGGGGCTGATGCAGGGGGCGGGGCTGATGCGGGGGGCGGGGCCGGTGATGGGGCGGGGCTGATGCGGGGGCGGGGCTGATGCAGGGGGCGGGGCCGATGCGGGGGCGGGGCTGATGCAGGGGGCGGGGCCGGTGATGGGGCGGGGCTGGTGCGGGGGCGGGGCCGGTGGTGGGGCGGCGCCGCGGAGGGCGGCGGGCGCCCCCTGGGGGCTGAGCCACCTGCGGAGCCAGATTGCTGCCGCCCCAGTGGCCCCAAACCAAGGAGCCCTGTGGAAGGCCAGGCTGGAGTCTGCGGGACAAAGGCTCCGGCAAGGCCCCTCCCTCCCAGGCCGGAGACCCAGGCGATGGGGGGGACCCGGGCAGGGTCCGCGGAGGGCGGCCCGTGACCCTGCGGCGTGACCGGGCCGCTGACACCGAAGCCGGGGGGAGCGGAGCGCCGTGCCCGCCGGGGAGTCCGCTGGGAGAGGGGACCGGGCCGCCTGGATCCGGGTTGGGGGGGGGGGAGAGCGAGAGGGAAGGGCCGCGGGGGAGGGGCCGGGAGGCAGACAGCCCGGCCCGGGAGACCTGCAGCCGGAGCGCAGGCGGGAGGGCGGGTGGCACATCGGGTTCCAGCTCCCGGGCCACAGCTCCGCCCCCACCGCCCGGCCGGCCGGCCCGCCCTCTGGGCCCTGCGGCAGGGGGACACCCTGGGGCAGGGGACGCCCTGGGGCCGGGGGGACGCCCTGGGGGCAGGGGACGCCCTGGGGGCGGGGAGACGCCCTGGGGCAGGGGGACGCCCTGGGGGTAGGGGGACGCCCTGGGGGCGGGGACAGGCCTGCGGGGCCTCCTGCTGTGGTTCCAGGGCTCGGGGAAGGGGCTCAGCGCCAACAACGGCGGGGGTGACGGTGTGAGCCAGGATGCCCGTGCCGCCCGGCCCCGGCCCCGCACCTGCCGGGCGGGGGCAGCGGTGGCCCTGAAGGTGGACCGGCTGCGGCCTCACAGGGCGCCCAGGCCGAGCCCAGAGGAACGGACTCCCTTTGTCATCGCCCGCCGCTGAGAGACCAGGGGCCCGAGGCAGGAGCGGCTGCTTGTCCTGGGGATGTGAGTGTGTGTGTGTGAGTGTGCATGTGTGTGTCTGTCTCTGTGTGTGAGTACGTGTGTGTATGTGTGAGAGTGTGTGTGTGCGCGTGTGCGTGTGTCTGTCTCTGTGAGTACGTGTGTGTATGTGTGTGTTCGCGCGACTGTGTGTGTGTGAGTGTGCATGTGTGTGTCTGTCTCTGTGTGTGAGTACGTGTGTGTGCATGTGTGTGTGTTCACGCGAGTGTGTGTGTGTGTGTGTGTGTGTTTAGGAAGAGGTGTGCATACCAGGTCCAATGCCTTGTTTCTGGTTTGCCGGTCCCCACCGCTCCCTGTTACTGCACCAAGCTCACGGCCATCTCATTTGTTGAAAGAACTTGACTTTGTGATCCCCGGAGAGACCCAAGCCTCACAGCCCCCCTACACCCCGTTTAAAAGCTCGCTCTTGGGAACACATTGAATTCTGGCTCTTTACCATCTCGGAGAAAATCAAGCCTCTTTTCTTTCTGCCAAGTGTTGCTGATCTCTGATGACCCTTTATTCTAATTCTGGAACAAATGGGTTTAGATCTCCCCATTTTTTTAGCTTGCGGAGTTTGTCTCCCCCCCCCCCCCCCCCCACTTCTCCAGATAAGCATGCCCTGTTCACGTCACGCCCTCTGTGGAGGAGTTATTTAGGATCTATGAATGCGATTAAAGTAACCACCAAAAATCCCCACACGGTCCGGTTTCCCAGTGCCCAGGGTGGAGCTGAGCCGGCGAGTACTGCCGTGGCCCCCGGGCTGAGCAGACTCCTCCCCGTCCTGCTCCCTGTCCCCAGGCGGGCGGGGGCGGGCGCACCCCTGATCCAGGCCACGGGCACAGGTGGTCTCAGGCAGCCCCAGCTGCCCTCACAGACGCGGACGCTCACCTTCGCCGCTGGGGTCCAGCCGCCGCCGGCGGGGCCTGAGAGCACCCTCCCTGTTCTCCCGGTCTCCCTCCGCGGGGCTCCCCTCGGTGGAGGGAAAGCAGAGCGATCGCAGCTGCTCCTCTCCCAGCGGAAGGCCACCGCTCACCTCCTCCACCCGTCTCTGAGCGCCCTGAGCCGCACCTGCACAGCTGCGCCCGGGAACTGGCTCCGACCGGACCGGCAGCAGCCGGCGGGCACTGCTGCCTGCGGTCTGGCTGCTCCCTCGCCCGTGTCCCAGGAGCTGACCAGGCCTGGAGCCCACCCCCAGCCGCCTCACGCCCCTCCCAGCTGCCTGCCACCAGCACGCTGGCCTCACCCTCTCGCTCCTCTTCCCCTGCACCTCCTCCAGGACCCCGCCGAGACAGTCCCAGGAGGCCTGGGAGTGCCAGAGGGAGTCTCCTCCCGCAGAGAGCCCGGCCTGGCTGCTGCTGTGCCTCTGGGAGCTGGGGCCTTCTCTTCTTCCTGGGCCTGGGAGCCACAGCTTCTGGGACATTCTTAACCAAGTCCCTCTGTGTGCAGACCCGTCCCCCTGTGTGCAGACCCGTCCCCCTGTGTGCAGACCCTCCCCCTGTGTGCAAACCCGTCCCCCTGTGTGCAAACCCATCCCTTTGTGTGCAAACCCGTCCCCCTGTGTGCAAACCCGTCCCCCTGTGTGCAAACCCTCCCCTTGTGTGCAAACCCTCCCCTCTGTGTGCAAACCCTCCTCCTGAGTGCAAACCCGTCCCCCTGTTTGCAAACCCATCCTCCTCAGGAGGAGCGACAAAGAACCAGAGTCTCTCCCCCAGCACGCAGGCTCTGTGGGCTTGGCTGCAGCTGGTGCCAGGCCGGGAGGCGGCTGCTTGGGGGTCGCTCTCTCTGTGGAGGGGATGGAGGGCTGCAGGGTCCAGGCACCCATGCTGGCCCGGGTGGGGAGGGGAACCACACAGCAGTGGGAACCGGGGCACAGGCTGTGGGGTGGGAGCAGGCCGCGGGGTGGTGTCTCCAGTCCACAGAGACCGCTCTGGTGTGGAGCTGGATGTGGAGACGCCTGGGGCTGTGTGATGAGACAGTTTGAGGTCAGGAGCCTGAGCGGCGGGAGATGCAGTCTGAGGAGATGCAGTCTGAGGCGGCTGCTGAGGAGGAAGCGTGACCTGCATACTCCCTGCAGCTCCGGGCGGGAGGGGCGGGGGCCGGGCAGGCCTGAGACGGTACCCAGTGGCCGGATGGCTGTGCAGACCCGGGTGGACCCTGGCAGGGCCCAGCCTGCGGGGGCCTTTCTCTCCGTGGGGAGCAGAGCTGACCCCCAGGCCACACATCCGGGCCGGGAGAAGCCGGGTTTGACCGGGAGCCGGGACTCCCTGCACCTGCTCGGCGCCCGCGCTTCGGGAGACAGGCTCCGCGCTGCAAAGGGCACGCTCGCCCTCTGGTGGCCAAACGGTGACATGACGCCGGCGGCCTTGGTGCGGGGCCAGGCGCGGGGCTGGGGTGACGGCTGTGGCTTGTGCCTCTGGAAGCTCATTTCCAAGCGGGGCCACCGGCTCCCCTCGCGTGGGGGTGGGCCGTGTCACCCACCCTCAGAGGCAGCAGCCGGGCCCTCCGAGGTTCCGGGCGCAGCTCTGGGGCCTCAGGAGTCTCCGGTTTGTACCGAGCCTGATGTCGGGCTCCTTCGTGGGCTCAGAACGCCCACGGAAGCCGGGGCGGGTCTTGGGGCTGCTTGGAAGCACGTTTCATATCTGTGTTGCACCCCTTAAGCCTGCGGGCGTCTGAGACCAGCCTGGAGGCCCCCCCGGAACCCGCTTCCGGCAGCTGCAGCCCCTGCTCCCGCAGAGCCAGGCCCTCGGGGGGCCGGGCTCACTGTCCGGGCGGCAGGGACAGCGGGAGGCCCTCGTGCTGTGCGGGGCGTCGGGCCCAGAACCCCAGTCAGCCAGGCCTGTCTCCACGGTCGTCCCCACACGCAGCCGTCGCAGCTCCGCTCCGGGGGCTGTCCCCCTGCCCTTCTCCGTCCTGGTGCACGGGACAGACTGCGAGCCTGGCTCCTAGGCCCCCCCGCCCCTCGCTGTGCGGCCCTCGGCCCTCCAGGAACAGGTGCTGGTGGGGGGACCCACACACCCAGGAGGAGCAGCCGAGTCTGGAAGGGCAGGGTCTGCGGGGTGAGGGCGATCAGGGTCCCGTGGGGTGAGGGCGATCAGGGTCCCGCGGGGTGAGGGCGATCAGGGTCCTCGGGGTGAGGGCGATCAGGGTCCCGCGGGGTGACGGGGCAGGGCCCTGTCTCGGAGCCAGGAGCCGCCTCTCAGCCTCTCAGGGATTCAGCCTCCTGGCGGTGAGCGGCCGGCACCTGCGGCATTTGGGGGGCCCTGAGAGCTTCAGGGGGTCCTGCCCAATAGCTCCTGACTTGGTTTCCCTCCTCCTGGGGCCCCCTCCGCTGTCTTCCTCAGGGAACTCGGGGTGCTGCGCTGGTTGGTGGCACTGGGTGGACTGGGAGGGGGCTGGCCCCCTGCTGAGTGGCGGCAGGGACTCACTGGGCCGAAGCGTTCCCGTAATGTTTGCCCAAACCCCAGACCTTCCCCCAAACCCCTGAGGGGGGAGAGACCTGGGGCCCACCCTGTGCCCCCTGAAAACCAGGCGGCAGAACAATTTCACATGCCTAGGACACAGGACGCCTTTCCAGTGCCTGGGGAGAGAAAGGGTGTGCGGGGAGAGGCAGGCGTGTGCGGGGAGAGGCAGGCGTGTGCGGGGGGGAGGGGGGGGCAGGTGTGTGCGGGGAGAGGCAGGCGTGTGCGGGGAGGGGCAGGCATGTGTGGGGAGCCACACGCGTGTGCAGGGAGGACGGACGCCCTGACTGGCCTGCGTTGCAGGTGTCCCCGTGCGAGCGGTGCCGTTGCGAGGCCAGCGGGGAGGTGCTGTGCTCCGTGTCCGAGTGCCCGCAGACCGAGTGCGTGGACCCCGTGTACGAGCCTGACCAGTGCTGCCCCATCTGCAAGAACGGTAGGTGGACCGTGTCCACAGCGTGCACGTCGCGGGGCGGGCTCTCACTCCGCGTGGAGGCGGGAGGCGCGAGGGCCAGAGTCCACCCGGGGCACAGCTCCCTGACCCCGGGAGCTGCTCGCCGCAGGGAGGGATTCTCTTGTGTTTTGTTGTCGGGAGCGAGGTCGTGGCTGCTGCCCTGGCAGCAAACCCAGAGGCTCTGCCGGGCCTGGGAGGCGAGCCTGCGAGGAGTGAAGCCGGGTGTGGGTGCCCTTAGACCCGTAGAGGAGAACTGTGCTTTTTAAAGCTAGATCCAGAAGGATGACAGCCCTGGCCGGTGTGGCTCAGTGGCTGGGCGTCACCCTGTGCACCCAGAGGCCTGTTTCATTCCATCAGGACATAGGCCTGGGTTGCAGGCCCGATCCCTGCCCAGCAGGGGGCATGCAGGAGGCAGCTGATGGATGTTTCTCTCTCCCATCCTCTCTCTAAAATCAATAAAACACATTTTTAAAAAGGAGGATTACAGGTTACAGAAGGACTGGAATTGAAAGGTTTAACCCAATGATATCAAAACAACAGCAGCTCCACCTTCAGGACCACAATCGGAACCAAGCCTCGTGTGTCCAATCCCGTACCTACCGCCACATTTGTGGGAGGATAGTCCCAGCTCTGCCATGCTTCCCGCTCTCTCTGACTTCCTTCTGACCTGGAAAGGGAAATGGTGTTTGGAATTCTTGGTAAAATTTTTGCTTGAAATGTGAAAGCAGTTCCTGTGAGAATTGAGCGCTTTGCAGGAATTGAGTGGGATTGGTCACTAATCCACGCCAGCTGTCCACGCCGTTCCCACATGGGATGCTTCCACCAAAGCACAGTGACACGTCCGACAGCTCACAGGCCACTGGGTGTCAACAGCGGCAGTTCTGTGCCAGCAGCTCAGCGGCCTGGGCTCGGGGAGAGGGAGGCTGGGCCGGTGACCCCGTGGTGACCTGGCCTTGCCCTCATGCCGACCGACCTGCAGGGTAAACGCTTCCTCCAGACGCGGGAGCTGCCGCTCACCGCAAGCTGCCGGAGTCGCTGACATCGCAGCAGCCAACGTTCGGGCCAGAAAGCCCGGGACGGACATAAATGGCCACAAAGCACACGCGACGTGGGCGTCCCTCGTGGCTCCCTCTCGTGGCTCTCCTTGGTGACGTGGACTGGAGCGCAGCCTGTCTCCCCCGCTGTCCCGGGGCAGGCGCTGAGCGTCCGCTTCTCAGGCGGTGGGCTCCCAGCGACCAGGGCCCAGAGAGCGTTACCACGGGTTCTTCCGAGCTGCCAGTGCCGACAGCAATTCAGCTAACCCTGGGAAAGGGGATCTGGAGGGCCTGAGCCTGCTCACAGGTGTGTCTCCCAGCCCCGCAGCAGGACGAGCCTGTGCAGTCAGCACTTTCCAGAGCACAGCAGGGTGTGCGTGTGTGTGCGTGTGCGTGTGTGTGTGTGCACGTGCACGAGTGTGCGTGCGTGTGTGTGTGTGTGTGTGTGCGCGCGCACGCGCACATGTGTGTGTGTGCATGTGTGTGTCGGGGGGGTCCTTGACCTCCAGATAAAATTCACGCTGTCTTGTCTCCTCAGTTTGTCTTAGCTTCTTGACAACAAGCTTCCCTCAGCCCCGTGGCCAGCCCCGGGCGCTCCACGAAGCCGCAGGATTGAAGGTGGCAGGACACACTGGCCCAGCCCAGGGAGACCCCTCTCTCCCAGTGTCACTGGAGGGACGTTTCCGTAATTGCCACATCCTGTGATCAGGGTCGTCCTGTGAGCAGGGTCATCCCGTGAGCAGACTGCCCCGTGACCTGAAATTCCGATTTGATGAATGACTCCTTTTGGGTTTTGTTGGCCTGGGGCAGACGTCCCGGCTGACTTGGTGCAGTAATTGGGAGGTTCCGTGTCCTCTATTCTTTCTGCCCAGTGGCTAATGCATTCCAGGAGGGATGCAGTGGGAATACAATCGCCCAATTACATGGAGAATGAACCCGGCAGAGAGTGTCCATCACACAGGAAGAACCTCATGCAGGAAGCAGACCCAGAGCTGAGCGGGGGACCCAATTATGTCCGTGTGCCCAGCACAGTCAGGGAGCAGGCTGGGATCCCACCGCTTTGCTGGTCCTACTAAGTGTGGATGTCTGCACTGTATGCTGAAGCATCGACAGAAAATATGCTGGGTCTCTGGTCTCGGGCCGATGGAGCTGAGGCCCACGGAACGCCTCCTATTGCAAATGCCATGACTGGGGTCTGTGTGCATGGACGGATGGTCTGCTTTGCTTTTGAAATGTAGCCTCGTTTGAAAGAAACACAAAGTGAAGGCCCTTAGGTTCTAGGGATGGAACCGGGTAACGCTGGGCCCTTGGCCGCAGACCCGCCCCGGCGAGGGCCCAGGGGCTGTACGACGGTCCCTCGTGGGACCAGGGACAGGAAGTCACTGAGCCTGAAGGTCAGCAGAGTTTCTGTGCCAGGACAGCCGGTTCGGAAGTGAAAGAAGCCAGCGGCGGAGTGCTTATTGCCACGGAAGGACAGGTGCAAACTGCCTGGATATTCTTACTCCCTTTTCCACGCTCAGTTTGTTATAATGAGCATTCATATTTCAATCGAAGAAACACCACGTGGAAGCTTTTACAATGGCGTGACGACCGAACTCCTTCCATAAGAGATCAAAGGTCAGCTGCAGCGCTTCCGAGGGAAACACAGCTCCTGGTTACCCCTCCCTGGGGCGGGAAGGGGAACTGGGCCCTGGTTGGAGCGTTGTCCCATGAACCAAAAGGTGGTGGGTTCCACTCCGGGCAGGGTCCTGCAGGAGGCACCCAATGGACGTTTCTCTCTCTCTCTTCTTCCCTCTCCCATTGCAATAAGAACATTAACTGGGGACTTGTAGGCGACAAGGACTAGAAGCCAGAGAAAGGGACTTGGTTTTCATTCTGAGTTTAACCAAAGTTTGGGAGGCTGTGCCCAGACTAACTCAATATGGCACCAAGCCATCAGACTTAACGTGGCTTGGAGATTTTATCCGGATAACTCAGGAATTGTATTCACGCCTATAAAACCAAACTGTTAACAAAAGATTGAAGAAGAATACATTAAGAGATATGTGTGGGTTGAGGGTTTTCATTAATATTTTTACCCTTCAAGTAACGCTTTTGTCTACAGCTTTCATTCAAACCCTGTTTAAAAACTATGATTGCATGTGCACAGAATTTATACAAATATTTTTGGGCCTGGCAAAATCTTCCTGGATTTTGATATGCAAAAGATATATGTATATGTACACTCTGAGAAAGAAACCACTCTTTATATATGTAGTTTATTCTTCCAGAGAGAATGTAGGTCACAGGTTCATACTCCCCGTGTTCTGCCCTTGAACAACGCTTGGAATCCATGAGAACGTGTGCACAAGTTATTGTTAAAGAATGCAGCCGACAATGACTGGAATTCTCAGCCTGTGAAGTCCGGGCATCTGCTTTGTGTGACCTGAGAAAGTGGCTTTTCAGAGGATGACATGAGGCGGCTATTGAAGTGAGCTGAGAACCTTAACAGCAATGACCCGGTTCTTCTCAGACGTTTTGGTTAAACGTGTTCCGTGGAGATGGAGGCCTCCAGGCGGGAATCGCTCTGCGGTCCTCACTGAGGGAATGTGAACACCAGGACTCGTGCCGCTCCGGGCGGTGACGGGGTCTGACCGCCTGACGTAATGGGACTTACTGACATGGAGACATTCTCAGGGTCCTTGCTGGAAATGTGTCCTTCTTTTCCAAAAACCGTGATGAAGTGCAGGGATGCTGGGCTATTCCCCTCACGGTGTGGACCCTGACCCGGGCCCTGGCTCCCTGGGCCGGCTCCTGCCCCCTCCTGCCCGCGGCCGCCCGGGCGGTGGGCGAACAGGTGGCGGCTCTGTGGTCTGTTCTCACGTAGCTTGTGGTGGACAGACGTTTCTCCGAACACAGTGCGAACTGTCAGAATCGCCATCGTGTTCTGGAACAGCGGTCGCCGGCGGTGGCGGGAGCCGGGCCGGGGGCCGGGAGGAAATTCGCCCGGGAAAGCCTCCAGCGCAGGGCTCCCGGGCGGGGCAGCCAGAGCGGGAAGGAGCCGTGTTGTTTCGTGAGTCTTGACGCTTTGTCCTATTTTAAGAGCCTCTTCCTCCTCCCGATTATGTTTTTTCTAAGGTTATTCAGAATGAATTAACTCACGTGGCTGCAGGCGTGGCTGATGGGTAAGGCAGGCCCAGAGGGTAATCTGTGAGTGAGCACAGAGACCCGTCAGGAGGAGGCGGGTGCTCCCGTTAGCTCAGGATTCTCATCCCCGTCACGTGGCCCGGGATGAACCCACCGCGTGTTTCCGTGTGCGCACGCTACACACGTGTCTCTGTGTTTCAGGCCCCAACTGCTTCGCAGAGACCGCCGTGATCCCCGCGGGGCGCGAGGTGAAGACGGACGAGTGCACCGTCTGCCACTGCACGTACGAGGAGGGCACGTGGCGGCTGGAGCGCCAGGCCCTGTGCACGCGGCACGAGTGCCGGCAGCGCTAGGCCTGACGCGCTCCCCCCGCGCCTCCCTGACCGGCCCGGCCGGGGCTCCGGGGGCGCCGCCCGCGAGGAGACTTTCAGCGAGGAACAAGGGGGACTGTCGGCACTTTTGCTTTTCTTGGTGACAGTGACTGCAAGAGAAGGAAGTGGACATATTTCAGAACATCCCGGAGAACTTTGGGCGTGAAGCCCTCTCTCAATAAACGTGCTATTTTCAGAGCAAGTACAGGACAGCTCAGTATTCTCTGTGCGATGTGTTTCTCTCCCCTGTCAGAGCTCACCGGTGTTTTCTGTAGAAACAGATTAAAGCGCTGTGCTGTCCACCGGCCACGCTGCGCACCTTTTCCGTTCACCTGACATTGCTGGGGGCTGGTCCTCCTTCACACCTCGGAACGCTGTCCCCGTGAACAGGCCCTGACATGATGGGGCTGGTTCCTCCTGGGGCCCTGCCCACACATTGTTTCACTGCAGAGGCACAGCTAGTGTCCTTAGGAGATCCAGTGAGAGTCACAGAATACAATGTTCCCGTCCTGCGCCTTATTGCTGCTGTCACCTCCAGGCTCTGTTGCTGGCAAATGCAGGTGTCAGGTAACTAACGGGCACTGTTTCTGTTCATCTGAAGCACCCCTGCTGGGTGGACACATAACATACATGCTTCATGTTCACTGACATCACTTTGTCTCCTCGTCATGAATTTAAATTGTGCCCTAGCCCAAGGAGCGGGCTGAGCTGGACAACTTGCTCCATGGTTCCATCCAGCTGAAGCAAGCAGTAAAAGAGGGACTCCCTTGACTGACTGGGGGGAGGTAAGGCAAATGGCTTGGCTGAGTCTCCGCCTGAAGTCTGAGTGCACACAGGAACCCTACCACTGCACTCAGTGGACTCACGCTTCTCCTCAGAATGACCACAGCTTTGGCCCTAAATTATGATCACCCAAAGTTTCAAAGATAAGGCATGTTATCAAAGCTGAGGAGGCACCCAGGCCTATGATACAAGCTGAACACAAATGGCAGAAACCAAAAACAACAGGGACAGAGTTATAGGGTCTCCGAAGAGTGGCATGATCAGACTCCATGCAGGATAACAATGCTGTGCTCAAGGAGGTACAGGATAAAAATGCAAATCTCTTCAGTGTCTTAGAAACCCAACTGGCCAATCAAATGAAAAATATATATATAAGAATTTGTAGCTGAACAATATGATAACTAGGATTAAAGATTCAGTTGAATGAGTTTAACAACATATTAGACAGAGTTTAAGAGAAACTGGTGAACTTGAAGTCAGAGCACCAACAAAAAAGCATATGCAGAAAATGCATAAGGAAACACAAGAGAGTAAAGAACGTGGTGAGCTTTTAAAGCTACAGAAGGTGATAAGGGAGAGAATGGAGCAGAAGTAACACTCAACAGGTAATGGCTGCTAGTTCTCTGAAGGTGATGACCCTGTGCAGTGAAGAGTTCCAGAGCAGCAGCACTACAGTGAAACAAGGGAAATAAAAACCCTACAAGCAGCAGAAGACAAGCACAGATTCCATTTATAATACAAACAAACAGTTGTAATGGCATGGTATCCAAAGGAACAATGAAACTCTGGAGACAGTTGGATATTTTCAATGTGAAGAAGAAAAATAACTGCTAATTTAGAATTCTGGACACAGAAATAGCAACTGCAGATCACTACAGTACCCACAGGTGCCCCATCAAGTCTAATGTGGAGGCTTCCATCGTTTTTACACAGTGTGGAAGTCATAGCACAGCTTTTCTCTCCTGGCCTCTTTCTTACACATCTGTTGTTTAGATGTATTTTAATTCTGTGTATTTTAAATCTGACAAGTTCTTTACTATTATTTTTCTAATAGCCACTATTGATTTAGCTATATCCCCATTTTTGTGATTTAACTGATTCCTTCTTTCACGATTTATTGCAGATTATTTTCTTCTGCCTACAGAATAGTTTTTGGTATATTTTGAAATGAATTTCTAATAGTGGTAGTATTTTTCAGCTATTACTCAATTGAAAATATCTTTATGTCGACTGCATTCTTTAAAGGATGAGCTTATAAAATAGTGAAGAACCAATAATTAGATATTGATAAGGCTGTATGCTACAATTTTTAGGGTACTATTTTTACATTTAACTGGTGGAATGAAAAGGAGACAAAATAATAAAAGCTATAGAAGACCTAAATATTATATATTATAATTAACAAAGTTGACCTAGTGGACACATATATAATTCTTCTTGAAAAAATATGGAATATATATTTTTTAAAGTATACATGGGAAATTTATAAATACTTTATGCTGAGCCATATACATTCTGAAGAACTGACATCATACAGAATGTAAATCCTGACACCAGTTCAGTTAGACTATTCGTCATGAGAAAAGCCAAACAAAAACTCTTCCTGTGTTGCAAATTAAGAAATAGAATTTTAAATGTCCCCAGGGACAAAGGAGACGCCGCAATAAAAAACCATCACCCTGATGCACTCGACGGGGAACAGACGAGAGAGAAGGCAGGAGCAGCCGTGTCCGGATGGGAGAGGAGGTGTCACTGCAGAAGTGTTGTGTTGTGCTCGCGGTGGCGGCTGTGGAGGGCAGCGGGGCCACCAGCCCCTGTATCCTCGCAGGGGAAGACAGGCCGTCAGAGCTGTGACGCCTTCACTCTCTGCCATCCCAGCGCCTCCTGCAGTGGGCGCTGCAGCCTCCCCTCCACTTTTACCCCAGGACATGCGTGAGGAACAGTGTCCCGGCGAGAGGTTCCCGGAAGGCTGGGGCAGCCTTGCACCAGCACAGCCCCCTCCTTGGATGCTCTGGGTTAGTTTCACAGAAGCGCTCCTCCCTCACAGTGCCCTGGGCTCGCCTTGTCCCAGCTGCAGACACAGACATGCTTTGCTGCTCAGCAGGGCGTCAATGGGAGAAGCCGTTCCTCCCGCCCTCCCCGAACCCCGCCCCGTTCTGGGCCCATGAGTAGCTGCAGAGGCAGCACCGCGCCATCCCTGTGCCCAGCTGGGAAGTTCCGGGCCTTCACCAGGCCCTCTTACACCCATCACCGTCGCCCACAGATGCTGCCGATGAGGCACGCGGCCACGGCTGTTACTTGGCGAGGTAGAGCATACATCGTGCCCAGGAGGACGGCCTCCCTTCTCAGCGATGCCACTCTGCGATGCCCTCAGCGTCTGACGGGTCCCCCAGCCCCTGGGCCAGGTGCTCCAGGACACGGGGTCTGTGTGTTACCGGTCCAGTACCTAAGTGGAAGCCCACTGCCATGCTCATTTCCTGTCACAGGAGCTCCGGGCAGCAGCTATGTGGTGACAGACACAGCGACAGCGATAAAAAGCACTTGTGCTTCTCCAGACAGAACCTGGAGAGCGAACCCACCTCCAGCTCCGGCAGAAGCGGTGCCAGCCACTCCCGACGAACCCGCCTGCTGCCCAGCTCCTTGCCGGCTCCCTGGAGGGAACCCCGGGCACCCAGGGGGCCTGGTCAGTGACTCCGTGGTGGCCAGGCAGACGCCCATCCCCGTCCTCAGACAAGGACGAGGAGCTGCCCACGGCTGTCTTGTCCGCTGGCTGGCCAGGCCCTGCGCTGCTTGGTGGCTGCCCTGGCAGGCATCTTTCCTCCCCGCACCTGGTCCTCCAGGTCTCCATCACCGACTTGTTTACAAATGTCTGCGTCTCCGCGTGGGCCAGGCAGCCCGCGTTCCCCAAGAGGGGGCAGGTGCAGGGCTCCAGGTTCCGCCTGCGCGAGCTGCCCCTTTTCGCTCCGGCAGCCCCGGTGCTGTGGCTGTCCTCGGGGGCGCTGTAAGCGATCCGCAAGTCTGTCCCCCTGAATGTGCCGCAGAGAAGACCCCCCGAGCTGGCAGCCACAGGCAGGAGGGAGGAGGCACCAGGAGGCACCGGGAGGCCTGGAGCCACTTGCTCATGGAAGTGCTCTGCCTTAGGGCCTGCCTGAGCCAGCTCCTTACGCACCCACTTCCCGGCTCTGCCCCCCGGGACCTGTTTGGCCCAGTCACAGGTCCCACCCACACTCAAGGGGAGAGGAGTCTCTGGAACAGAACTCCAGGGGCAGGTCCGTCGGTGTGTCTGGCAGGGCCTGTGCACCCAGACGTCTGATACTAACTGCCCAGACACCGCAAGCCTCTGCTGTGCAGGCAGGGCCCGGGAGCCAGACGCCCTGCAAACTGCCAGGCCTCAAGGTCAGGTTCGGGCTCAGACGGGAGGCCCTCGTCCTCCTTGGGCAGGAAGGCCGTCAGTTTCTATAGTCTGGAAGGTCCTGGTCTCTTCCCCAAGTACCGCCTTGCCTCACGGCGAGCCACGCCCGAGGCGGTGCGGGCAGGTGCTCCCGCTGGGCCCGAAGTCTGCACGGCCGGCTGTCGCTGCGGAAGAAAGGCCTGCTTCCCTGGAAGCCGGAGGAAGCTTCCGGGGCTCAGGCCCCGACTTCATATTCCCCACCAAGTGCAGCGAGAGGCAGCCGGCCCGGGCGCCCACACTCCCTCTCGGTGACCCACCCGCCTGCTGCGGGCACCAGCGCCCGCCTGCCCGCCCGCCTGGAGCACGGGCCTGGGCCACGGGCGGCCGCTCAGCTAGGAAGCTGAGCACAGGGTTCTGCCAGGCTCTCCTGTGTTTTCCTGGTGCCTGATCTTCACTCTTCTGTATTCTGCCAGAGCTGCAGCTCTGCAGTGTGAGGGGCGGGGACGTGGTGGCGCCTGCACCTTTCACAGCGCCAGCCATGCAGTGAGAGTGGCAGCACCACTCGTTTGTGTTGGTTAAACTTTATTTTTATTGTCCATCCTCTTCCCCAGAGGCATTCTGGGGGAAAGAAATTGCTTGTTTCTCTTTGTCCCCTCACTGTGGAAGTTCACACCTTCATTTAGGCCACACAATGATTACTCCACTCTAAAATGTCAAGAAGGCAATTTAAAGGACTTTAAAATAAAATCATAAAGACTGCCACCCATTGTGCTGTTGGCACAGACCTTATAAAGAGGCTAAACACTGC